CTGTTAGCGACTCTTAAAATTTCTTAAGATGTGTAAAGACCCTTACATACAATAAGAGAACCGTAAAATTTGTATAGGGTCTTTTCAAGATTTGAATATTAAACACAGTCTTTTTGGAGACTATTTGTGACATTTAAAGGTCCTTAAGTATTTACCTTAAAAGCTTGTAAAAGGTTTTCAAAACTGTATAGGATATTTAAAGCGCGTCTCTTAAACATTAATAAAACGTATCAACGAACAAGGAGTCTTAAAAGTTCTAAAAAAAACCTTGAAGTATCTTGGAGAAACATCTTAAAGACTAACGACACCTCTTCAAGAATTTCAATAATTTTTAATTTTTTTTTAAATTTCCAAAAGCCTTTAGGAGATTCTTCTCAAAGGTCTTGAAGTTTTCAAGATCTAAAGGTTTCATGGATCTTTAAATTCACTTGATGGAGATCCGCTTTGTACGAGTCGGATTTTAAATACTTCTAAACCTTAAAGACTCGTAAAAGTTTTTAAAAATTTATAAAAGCTTCTAATTAATCTTGAAGGAGCGACTCTTAAACACTTCTAAAGCTTATTAAAAACATTTAAAGGCTTTTAACGATGTTTAAACACTCTCAAATCTCCTAGATTTCTAGTAATACCCTTGAGGAGTTTTTGGAGACCTTTGAAAGGTCTTGGAAATTGTTAGCCATTTCATCAAGATTCAATTAAATGATTTTCACCATGCGGATATTAATTTCGATTGAAAAAGCTGTAAGGAAAGGCTACAGGGTGTTCTTTACGGAAACCTTTGAATATCCCACTACCACTTCATTTTTAGAGGTACAGCAATAATTGTCAAACAAAAAAGATTCACATTATTGTCGACTTCAAAGGCCGGGCATTTTTTTGATGGGTTAATATAGCGGAATTCACAGAAACATCACTTTTTTAGATTCCAGATTGTAGTTACGCCCCCTAGCGGCCATTTCAGAAACAGGTTCACACCGCATTCTTATTTGGCCACCCTGTACATAAAGTAAATTTTGTTTCATGACGTCAGTCTAAAGGCCGCGTATTCAGTGTTCCAGATAGAATTTTCGCACCTTGTAAGATGTTTGGGAGATTCTCGAAGGCCATGGAAACTGTTAATGACTCTTAAAATCTCTTATTTAAAAGACCTTTAAATGCACTTAAAAGAACCGTAAAGAAAGTTTGTAAAGGGCGTTAAAAACTTTTCAAGATTCGGACTGAGAGTCAAAGCTTCTAGAAGACCCTTGAAGTATATTGGGGACTCTTGCAAACATTACAAAAACTCATGGAACTTTTTAAAGACCCTTTAAGACTTAAACGTTTTTAAAGATGCACAAATCTGCAAAGAAAGTTTGTATGTAAAGGGCCTTAAAAGCTTGTCAAAATTAGAATATTAAACACACCTCTTTGGGACTTTCTGTAAAGGTCCTTAAATACCTTAAAAGTTCAATGCGCGTTTCTTAAACGTTATTAAAACGTATTGGATATTTAAAGGCTTTAAAGACTTTCAAAGATTCTAGAAGACTCTTGAAGTGTCCTGAAAATTCTAAGAAACCTTAAAGACTCATGGAATCTCTTAAAGATTTTCAGTATTTTAAAGAAATTTTTCTATTTCGGTGTCACAATGATGATTTTGTGCAACTGTTTTCGGCCTAAAACAGTTGTACAAAGACAGTGATTATAGTCGTTTTTTTTTGGTAACTCATCTCTTAAGTTGGCAGTTACTAGTTAGTACAAGTAGGTACTTCGTTGGGTACTTCCATGTTTGAACTTCAAAATGTCAGTCTTACTACGCTGCCAACCTAAAACTTAACGGCAAGTGTTCCCAACATAAAACATGTTAGTTCTAATGTTCCCTATAGTTTCTGATAATGATTTTTTTTTTAATTAAAGCACCGAAATAGAAAAAATAGTATGAAAAACGCGTGTTACAATGCTTTATTGTAATACTCCTATCTTGCGGACACTCGTGGCTACGCTTCGCGTCGCCACTCGTGCCACAAGATAGTCGTATTACAATAGGTCGCATTGTAACACTTGTCTTTCAATATACTATTAATACTTTAAAACTCAAAATTCTTATACATTACACATTGGGAAATTCTCGAAGCACTGGAAAACTGTTAGCGACTCTTAAAATTTCTTAAAATGCGTAAGGACCCTTACATACAATAAGAGATCCGTAAAATTTGTATAGGGTTTTTTCAAGATTTGAATATTAAACGCAGTCTTTTTGGAGACTATTTGTGACTTTTAAAGGTCCTTAAGTATTTACCTTAACAAAAAAGAGGGGTAGTGAATAGTGCAGGACATTGCAATAGCAATATCGAATACTACAAACCGTAATTAACATTCAATAAAAACCAATAATTCAATTTATAAGAGACTGGAAATTGGCTTCTGGTATTGTCAGCTGGCGCTCAACAAAATGGCGGAATTAGAGACTAATAAAATCGCTCTCGATCCAAGATGGCGGACCACACCGCTCATTCGCTGTGACGCCACAGGGGTCGGACTCTAAAGGCCTAGCCTACCGTATCCCATTAGTCAAGGGGAGGGGCGTGCTCGTATCTGATTGGCTTCGACGTCACGAGCTCGTCTCTGATTGGTGTGACGTCACTTGCTGATCCAGAAAATACATAGGTCTTCTACTTACGACGTTCTTTCGTCTTTCACGATAGTAAAAAAAGGGGCACCTGTAAAAATTGTGGTTTAATTTTATAAGTCGATACAAATTATTATTTAAAATCTTTCTGTCTATCAATTATTTTTTTATACATTTAAACGAAAATTTTTACCAAAAATCAAACTTAAAGAAGGTCATTCATTCATTAGAATTACGTCACTGACACAATTTTGCACCACAAACAAGGTCACTGGTAATCTATACGAGAACACGGCCTTCGTTTGAGAAACGAGGACGTACCTCAATCTCAGTCTCAGAGGCAGACCAAAAAATTATCCAAGCGGCAAAACGATACCAAAGCGATAAGGGTCGGACCAGATGGTTTCCCGGCTGAATGTGGGGCTCCAAGGGGCCACGGACGTATTCTGAGAGGTTTGGGATAGCATACCCTGAAATATGGAAGATGACAAGTATAGTCCAATTACCAAAAAAAAGGAGGCGGGAACCTCTCGAGCTCCTTAGTCGTTTAGGGAAGCTATTCGAAAGGATTATTGTGTCGAGACGAGAGAAAGAGGTTAAGTTGTTCCCGGAGCAATATGGTTTTCGCAAAGGTGGAGGAACAAGGGAAGCGCTTCGACGCATCCAGTCCGGAAGAAGACTAGGAGGACCAGGGAAGTGGCGGTGGTGGCTTCTCTGGATGTGCGCAACGCTTTCAATTCGGCCCCTGCTCAGGCGCTCGTTCAGAAGGTAACACTATACCTGATTAGGATGGTTCATAGCTAACTTACGGACAAAATAATGCAAGCAAAACTGCCTTCCGGAGCAAAATTTACACTGCGGATCCACAAGGTTCGGTTCTGAAAAGGTCACTTGAGCCGTCCGAGGCCTTTTTGCCGGATAAATCCCAGGGCACGACCTTGCACCACAAAACACAGTTACTCCTTAGTTTACGTCACCAGGGAAACTTCCCTCGCCACGAACACTAAACTAGATGGGGGGGGGGGGGGGGGGTTCTGTTGCCTTTTGTAAGAAAATATAAAGTAGTCAAGTCAAAATTTTATTTGTAAACATCCTGCATTATGCGTTGTAAAATTCCTCCGTTAGATGCCGCTTGTCGTCACCATCTTTTGAAACTAAATCCCTTCTCCTGTTTTGTGCTTCTCCTTGTCATAAAAGTGGGATTGTTAAGACTTCAAGGAACTTACTTCCTGCACCTCTTACCAACCAGAAACCAGAACCAGATTCCATACCCAAGCATTAGTACATCCCAGATTAGAAACTCGGAATTATTTTTAATTTATTTCCGTTTTGTTTTATTTCGCAGAGAGTTTCCCTTTTATTTCATTGTTATTGGCCTGTTAATTTGGTAGCTACTTTTATTTGGCCTGTGGTACTGGTGTCGTGAATCCTTGTAGGGTTAAAACCCTGCGCGATTTACGCTACCTGATACAGCACCGGAGTCCTGCAGATATTTATACGAAAGGATTATGTGCGATAAAACATGATAAGTTGTGTAAGTGCTAACGGAGTCAAAATGGCTTTCTTTATTTTTTGACATACATTGCCAATTCACGACCTGCGATCTACACAATATTTAATAAAGAATTTATACTAGGAACTCGTTAATAATGATGAGTAAAGTTTGAATTGACAGAATACTACTCAAGTAGTTCTTATTGTCTTAATTAGAAATAGACGATCGCAGAAATCCGACTTAATGGCTACCTAATAGGCTAACAGTATTTACATTCAATCAATATTCTATTTGGTAACCGCGCTATTAAGGAAGGGCGATTTATTGCCCTTACTCACCTTTATAGTTCCACTATTCACTTCGACCCTTAAAATTTCCAATTAAAGTAAGTTTTAGTGTTGAGGCCTTCGGGCTTTGGAACCGCGTTACCTAAACAATTTCAAATTGCTAGTGATTTCAATTGTAGCGCAGATTAATTGCCGGTAAAATTTTATGGAGGCCTTACGATCGGTTTATGTAGGGAGATAAGGTGCGCTGACAATCTGTAAATTTTCGTAAGGGAAACTTTGGGACGTAATTAGTTTACAAACGATGGCGCTGCAGGTGATTTTCAATTTTTAAGTGTATAGCAACTTTGGTAAAGGCGATGTGATCCCATGTTGCGGTCAAACGTCTTTTAGTGGCAGGTTGTCGATATATTAATATACTGACATGACATTTATAAGAAACCTTTTAGGCATCAACGTTTTGTAACGTAAGCTACATGATGTTTATTTAAATAAATTTAATTATTAATAGAGACTATTAACCATTAATCATATTCATCAAAGAATGAGTCAATAACATTCTAGAAATTTCGCTAAAATTTCACGCAAATTAATTAAAATGTTTTTTTTTCAGGCAATCGGGGATTAGAAGCACCGTATGCGGTCTTAGTTTTTGCTCACGGCGAAAGTTTCGAGTGGGGCTCAGGGAACCCTTACGACGGCAGCGTTTTGGCTTCCTACGGTCACGTGATCGTCGTAACCCTCAACTTCCGCCTAGGAATACTGGGTAAGTCCATTTCGAGTTACGCGCATTTAAATTGCGTAACTTAGACGAATTAATCGTACTTGAAATAACTGCGCGCCAAACTTTCTTAATTATCTCTCGCGAAAAGAAAGAAAAAATTATACAAAGTTTGTATATAAAGGAAGAAACATTTCCAGAGTAACAACAGAACAGAAAACCGTTCCCCGTAATGCAATCCCTCCAAATTAAACCAATTTAAACGAAAACTTTTGTTTTTAATTAAGTTTTAAAAATAAAGTAATCCAAGTTTCAGCTATGAGGCAAATTCCGAAAATGCCATCATAACAAAAGTTGAAGAGTTTTAAATGAAAACAAATTAAAACGCCATAAACTCGCTTTCGTTGGGCAAACAAGCGGAAGATAAGTTAAGGATATCTTTGAGGGTTCCGAAATTTACGCAACACAGAATTCCCGTCCCAAAAACGGGGGGTGTGTGTGTTTAAAACATTACGAACGCTGAGCAAACCGAGCTCGCTCGTCCTAATGTGATTTATGTCTCATTTAATTGGATCAACCTGTACAACTGTGCCAAACTTTTAATAAGAAGTCCGCGGAAAAAAGTTTCTACGGGCTCCGAACTTTTATCTGCTCGTTACCTGTATCACCTCGTAACTCGTTTACGAATTAATTAGCGGTTGTCTGATTCTGACAACTGTCGGGGAAGAAAACTCATTAGTTTTGTTCGCAAGGTTTTTTTCACCTGTCGACTCCGATCGATTTTAGAGACGTCATGAAACAATGAAATAAACCATCAGACTTTTAGCCCTCTGGCGGTTTAAACAGTAACTATTAGTGTGATTTAGAATCGGATCTTACTTTTTTGCCCTCTATTTAACTTTCAATTTTACTAACTTTTCTAGAGGTTGTCATTTCGAGTACCAAATAATCTTAAATGATATCGATCAAAGTTTGCACGATGCTGAAATGATCTCATGCCGAATTTGCAGTTGTAATCAATTAAGATAACTGTATATGACCCAAATCCCCGACATCTTGCCTTTAGATATCCGAAATCCATTAAGAAAACAATGTTCTATAGAAATTAAAAGACGTAGAAAGGACAATCTTCTATTCCAGTAGAGGTGAGTCGGAGTGAATTCCGGGGTTTTTATATACTAGAAAAAATAAACCGGATAGGCACCACTTAGTCTTTAGTAAATTTGGAAAGAGAAAGCATTACCTTTGATTTCTGGTTGTAGCGGCCATCTGAATTCAGAAAGGGTGCATTCTGCTAATCTGTAACACATTACAACACAAAAAAAACAAGTAAAAGGGGTAGTGAATCGCGCTGCACATAAAATATTGCTAAGTAGCAGAGCTAAAGTCTGACACTGAGGCAATCTTATATTAAACTATAATTAATACTCAAAAAACCGGTTTCCACTCAGGAGAAAGCACATTCCGGTAGGTAATAATGAAGAAAAAAGTAAACCGGAAGTAAGAATCCTAAAAATAATTATTCAAATTGAAAAGCTAAATGCGTAATTTTTATTAACATACCGAAAACGGCCTTAGAACTTGTAAAATATACCCGAAAATGGGAAGAATCCATAATTTCAAACAGTTCCAAGATCGGACCACTAGATCAAAAGTTACAGCCCTTTGAATTTTTTGTCGAAATTGGTTTTTTGCCCATAACTTTTGATTGAGACGTTTAATCGAAAAAGTACGAATCGTTTTGGATTCTACGCACCCAAATTAATAAGAAAAAGTTTTTTCCCGAGAAATTTTGGTGCAGTCGATTTTTGGTAAAAAAAGGAAGGTTATACACTGCGTTTTTTTTGCCCAGAAAAAAAAATTGTCTCAGACCGACCGGAAAAAAAATATTTTCTTATAGAATGTGGCCTGTAGAATCCATAATTTCAAACAGTTCCAAGATCGGACTACTAGATCAAAAGTTACAGCCCTTTGAATTTTTTGTCGAAATTGGTTTTTTAGTCCATAACTTTTGATTGAGACGTCTAATCGAAAAAGTACGAATTGTTTTGGATTCTACGCACCCAAATTAATAAGAAAAAGTTTTTTCCCGAGAAATTTTGGTGCAGTCGATTTTTGGTAAAAAAGGAAGGTTATACACTGCCTTTTTTTTTGCCCAGAAAAAAAAATTGTCTCAGATCGACCGAAAAAAAATATTTTCTTATAGAATGTGGCCTGTAGAATCCATAATTTCAAACAGTTCCAAGATCGGGCTACTAGATCAAAAGTTACAGCCCTTTGAATTTTTTGTCGAAATTGGTTTTTTGCCCATAACTTTTGATTGAGACGTCTAATCGAAAAAGTACGAATCGTTTTGGATCCTACGCATCAAAATTAATAAGAAAAAGTTTTTTCCCGAGAAATTTTGGTGCAGTCGATTTTTGGTAAAAAAGGAAGGTAACTGCTTTTTTTTTGCCCAGAAAAAAGGAAGGTTATACACTGCGTTTTTTTTTTTGCCCAGAAAAAAAAATTGTCTCAGACCGACCGGAAAAAAATATTTTCTTATAGAATGTGGCCTGTAGAATCCATAATTTCAAAGAGTTCCAATATCGGACTACTAGATCAAAAGTTACAGCCCTTTGAATTTGTTGTCGAAATTGGTTTTTTGCCCATAACTTTTGATTGAGACGTTTAATCGAAAAAGTACGAATCGTTTTGGATTCTACGCACCCAAATTAATAAGAAAAAGTTTTTTCCCGAGAAATTTTGGTGCAGTCGATGTTGGTAAAAAAGGAAGGTTATACACTGCGTTTTTTTTGCCCAGAAAAAAAAATTGTCTCAGACCGACCGGAAAAAAAATATTTTCTTATAGAATGTGGCCTGTAGAATCCATAATTTCAAAGAGTTCCAAGATCGGACTACTAGATCAAAAGTTACAGCCCTTTGAATTTTTTGTCGAAATTGGTTTTTTGCCCATAACTTTTGATTGAGACGTTTAATCGAAAAAGTACGAATCGTTTTGGATTCTACGCACCCAAATTAATAAGAAAAAGTTTTTTCCCGAGAAATTTTGGTGCAGTCGATTTTTGGTAAAAAAGGAAGGTTATACACTGCGTTTTTTTTTTTTGCCCAGAAAAAAAAATTGTCTCAGACCGACCGGAAAAAAAATATTTTCTTATAGAATGTGGCATGTAGAATCCATAATTTCAAACAGTTCCAAGATCGGACTACTAGATCAAAAGTTACAGCCCTTTGAATTTTTTGTCGAAATTGGTTTTTTGCCCATAACTTTTGATTGAGACGTTTAATCGAAAAAGTACGAATCGTTTTGGATTCTACGCACCCAAATTAATAAGAAAAAGTTTTTTCCCGAGAAATTTTGGTGCAGTCGATTTTTGGTAAAAAAGGAAGGTTATACACTGCGTTTTTTTTTTTGCCCAGAAAAAAAAATTGTCTCAGACCGACCGGAAAAAAATATTTTCTTATAGAATGTGGCCTGTAGAATCCATAATTTCAAAGAGTTCCAATATCGGACTACTAGATCAAAAGTTACAGCCCTTTGAATTTGTTGTCGAAATTGGTTTTTTGCCCATAACTTTTGATTGAGACGTTTAATCGAAAAAGTACGAATCGTTTTGGATTCTACGCACCCAAATTAATAAGGCCCGAAAAAATCGGACTACTAGATCAAAAGTTACAGCCCTGGCACGACCTCTATCGGCAAAACCAAGAACTATGCGAGAGAAACCTATACTAAGGTAATAACAAATTTACTACAGGTATAATTTACATCTAAACTAGTGGATTACCTAGATATCGCGTAAGAATTTAAGTAAGAGCACAATTCAAATAGTTACTTAAGCGGGATTTCTTTTCTTTGTCACGCATCTTTCATACTTTTTCACATATTTTTGATTCTGCTTCACTTCTACTTTTGTAATGGTCTCTTTGGCACATATATTTTTTTTAATCTGTCCTTTGCACACTTGCACACGTCTGTCTTTCTGTTCTGATGACTTACTTCTTTTTCTCTTCAAGCTTCAATCACCTCTTCATCAAACACCCTTTTTTCATTTACGCTGGCTTCGTCCGCGTCTCCTTCAATTCGCTTTTGTGTTCTCTTTAAACAGGCTGATTCGCACCTGCTTCGCGATACTTTCACACGCTTCTTTTATCATAACATCTTCGTCGCTTGAGAGCAAATTCAGCTTGGGTTAATGAGGGAGTTAAACTTCAAACTTTAGCGAGTCCATTATGTTTTCAATGCAAAGGATTAGCAAGGAAGTCCCCCCCCCCCCCAAAAGATCCGATACACTTACCCTTTAAGAAAGCACCTACTCGAAACTTGCTGAATACGGAACCAACCTTACGCTGCTAATTGTTGCATTGTTCTCTACCGAAACGAAACCGTATGCCAGAAAATCGAGGAAATTTGGCGAACAACGCCAGCCGAGAGTTTCCCCACATTAAACCGGGCTGAATATACGATTTGATTATGGAAATAATGTACAGTTAACAATTTAAATTGATTATACGTACGCGGAGACTAATCGAATTCACATGCAATTAATTAAGAAAAGCAATTTGCGGAGGCATTCGCTTTACGATTTCAAAATTGAATTGACATCTTGTTTCGCTTAAAAAAGGGAGAAGAAAAGGCGAAGAAGTGATTAAGAGAGCGCGCCTTTGGCGAGAGCATCCAATCAACTAAAAGCCGATTGTGCGTGGTTGTTTAAATGCGTCACGTTGCAAGTGCTTCTCAGGATGGATTCTTTTGACTACTGGAACACGTCTATTTTAACAAACCCGAAAATCTTTTGTTTTGAGTGCGGATACAAAAGGCAATTCACTAACTTCGCGATGTAAGAAATGACATCGCCTTAGTGCAAACAAATGGAATGGTAGTAAAACAATAAACGTCATCAGCTCTTCAACTGTTTCATAATTTTTTCGAGCTTCAAGACCTCGAGCTGACCTTCTTGAGTTCTCTCAATGGTCAAGTGTGAAGATTTTCGACAAATAGTCTCCTCGCGATGTTTAGATTCCGAACTAACTTACCAGTTAGC